GGGATTTCAATGTGGTTAGGAGGATAAGAGAGATGAAGGGAGGCAGGGAGGGGAGAGTTGGTGCGGGGATGAGTAGATTTGGGAATTTTATCGCCAATCCTGGGCTGATTGACCCTCTGCTGTTGGATGACCTTGGCTATATGATTGGGATGTATACCATTATGGAAACCTGAACACCTATGACTTCATGTTCAATAATCAGCAGGTTATTTTAAGGCCAATGTCAACTGAACAAATTAAGAATTATGGTGAAAACGCATCCAAGCATGCTGCTGAATCAAAGAAGGCCCTACACATGATCACCAAGGAGTTTGAGGTAGAGAGCAAAGAGGCATGGGTCATCTATGCTGTAGTAGCCAAATAAGTGGAGAAAACAACACCTGTACCACTTATAGATGCACCTCCAGAAGTACACAAATTGTCAGATTTTTTTTTTTCAGATGTAGCACCGGAAGAACTTCCTAATGAGTTGCCACCAATGTGCAACATCCAGCATGCTATTGATTTTGTTCCAGGCTCCCAACTTCCCAACTTGCCTGCATATTTCATGAACCCAATAGAAAATGTTGAACTTAAAAGGCAAGTTGAAGAGTTGCTGTCTAAAGGTTTCATTCGAGAAAGTCTTAGTCCTTGTGCAGTTCCAACACTTTTAACACCAAAGAAGGAATAAAAAAATAAAGAAGTCAGTATTTAACCACAGTAAATGCATAAATTTTCACAAGGAATACAATAGTTTGGTAAATCTCCAAAGGGTAGTGAGAAAATTTGGATAAGGATTCGACCTTTAAGAAGAATGTGGTGTTGGAATTAGAGAGGATCAATGCTAGCTGTGGTGTTGGTTAGAATTCGGAAATTTCATCAGTTTGTTTAGGTCTTGAAAGATTTTAATAGATTGAAAGGGGGTTTATTTGGGGTTGGGCCTGTCAAGAAGTTGAAGAAAGTTAAAAATGCTAGCAAGAGAAACAAAAGAGATAATTTTCAACCTGTTGGCAACATGAAGTAATCGAGGATTGTCTTTTTTGGTGTCTATTGTTCATTTGTTTGTTTTGATTGATTGTTGGGGCTTTGATGTTTGTTATTTTTTATTTTGGTTATGGTTGTTGAGCGTTTATTATTGGGTTGTATCTTGAGTTTGGGGTTGCTTTTTCTTCTTTCGGGTGGCTTTTGGTCACCTTTCTTGTGTTTTCTTTCCCTTATAATAAATTTGATTTTATTATGAAAAACTAAATTAATATTAAAGCAAAACCATCTTTTTTTCTCCCATGTTTGTTTGCAGAATGACCTTTCCACAGGCTACAAGTTTGGCATTGTTTACTTTGTTTTACGTAATACCTTGTTTTAGGCAATACTTAAGTACTATCAGGTCTTTGAACATTTTTTATTACTATGAACTAGTGCATGTAATATTTTAACTATGTCTATGCCATATGTTCTCATTTTTTAGAGGATTTTTCACCTCGAAGCTGACCACTCAGATTCTCAGAGAGAGAGAAATAATTTCCTCCTTTCCCTTCGCTATATGTTCTCTTGACTGCATGCGTATCTACTATGCAATTTAGGGCAAATTTTTGGCTATCATTGTGTGGCACATGATCTCATTCAAAATGAATATTTGCTTGTTTGTTCACAGGAGTTGGAGGCTATTCTTACTTAAATGAGCCACTTTGGTGGGCAGGCATGATGACAAGTAAGTATACTTCATTATTTTTGCAAATGAATTGCAAATTAATGTAATTCATTGTTTTCTTTTTTTAAAAAATTACAAATAGCAATGGGCCCTCTAATAGCTAATAGTCACGGTGAAAATAATTTTATTAGTTATTTATAGATTACTAGATGTAAATTGCTGCTTGAAATGTGTTATATGTATGGAGTTCATGCTTGGTTAGGTTGTTCTGCTTTGTTATATTGTCTACTTGTGCCTAATAACGACCACTACATGTTTGAGGTTAGATGGCCAATTCTTCAGTGGGTTCTCAAAGAAGAAAACACATAAATATGAAAAAGAAAAAAAATAAAATAAAAACAAGAAATAGGAATCAAGAAACATGTTAACATCCCTCTGGTATCTCTTTTGTCTTGCTCATCAATGGCGAGGGATGAACCATGGTCCAAATCCTTTTGATTTTAAACCTTTGTTGAATAATGCTAGTTTTGTTGATCATTGGAGCATATTAACCCCCACCCCCCCTTGCCTTTATTTTTTAAGGGCTAATGAGAGTTAATGGAGGCAGTCTTGAATTTGGATGACTATGCTTTGCTTGGTACTTCTTAATACTTGGCACATTTAGGTTTGGAATTTGTAGTAAAGGGTGTAAGCAGGGAGAGTAAGGCTGTAACAAGGTCTACTTGAAAGACGGTAGATGGCTCTGGTGAGGGAGAATAGACTGATGGTTCTAGGCCTGGGACAATTAGGGTTCTAGAGTGGCAGAGCTTACGCAAGGATTCTTGAAGACAAAGGTGAGGATAGTCTCAGACGTCTCCTATTTATAGACATAAATGCACAAGTGAGGCGAACTTTCCAAAGTGGGGAAGTTTGTTGGATCTAAAATAGGCAAGACACTTGGAGTGTGTCCATGTGGAGATCCCGGGATTTGGGTTCCTGCCCTTCTCATCAGGGCCCACACATGGGCATTAGTGTAGCTATTTCTCCCTTCTAGATGCTAGCCTCATTATGTTGTAGGAATTTCTTTTTCATGATGGGTAATAGGGCTTTGGCATGGAGTCATGGGATGAGTACAACAAAGTTGTGGTGTTGCGCTGTGATGCCAAGGCAGGATGCCATTGCAGCACGGTAGACCCTTGCTATACAGGGTCAAATCGTGGGGAAAAGTTGCAGCAATGAGGTTTTCGTGCCAGGACTATTGAGCTTGCGATTTGATGGTAAAGTGTTATGTCATGTCGTAGAATTGAGCGCAAGTTGTGATTTTGCAATTTTTGAAAAGCGGGATTGTGATGTGATGAACTTGGGGCCTAGATTGCAGTGTGGTCAGATCGTGGTGATCCATTTGCATGACTCCCATTGCAGTTCCCATGGATTCTAAATCCATGTATTTACATTTTTTTTTTATGAATAATAATAAGTTTATTGATTCAGAAACAAATTAGAGTGAGTTCATACATCATCCCAGTGAGAGGCGCGAGCTGCAGCCCCTCCTTGAAACTTACAAATAAACTAGGAAAGAAAAACAAGAATCACAACTGAGCCCAAAATAATTCTTCCCTATTTACCCCTTGCTTAGCTAACACATCTGACAAGGTATTTGCTTATCTCCCCACCCACTGTACACTGACCAACATATTCCTTGTCAACCAACTAAATTTCTTCATTTCATTCTTGTATCGCCACATAGCCTCTTCAGAATTTTTCAACCAACCCACCACCACTTTGGAATCCCCCTCGATTATTAGTTGTTGTACCCCCAGCTGGTTTGCAAATTGGACCCCTTGTACAACAGCTAAAAGTTCTGCCCTGATGGAATTCCCAATTCCCAAAGGATCTGAGTAGAGCAACAAAATCTCTCCCTTCTCATTTCTCAAAGCACCCCCCACTCCGGATAATCCTGGATTACCCATGCTGCTTCCATCAAAGTTCAACTTAATTGAGCCTTCGGGTGGAGGAGACCAGCTTGTAATTGATTTGGCCTTTAAATCCATGTATTTACATTAGCCCCCTTGCTTATTGATAGAAGTAGTTCTGTTAGTAAGCATAGTCTATTGTTGTGCTGGAAAAGATGGGTCTGGTCATTTCATTGTTTGCTTATCCTAATGTAGATCCCCTGCTTTTTGATAGAAGTAATTATATCACTAAGGAAGGAATGGGTTTTGTAGTTTCGATGTGGGTGAGTTAGCTGCGTTAGGTATGCGATGGGAAGCCCCCCCGTGTGTAAGAGAGCCATAGATATTCTAATACGATGTTTGATATTATTGATGGAATATTTTGATTAATGAAAGGCATTAAAAGGAGCCATTAATGCAATGAAATGATTAAGTGATGTTGTTATTGGCTTGTTGATTACGTGAGCATTAAACAACTGTTGGAGTTATTATGAAAAGCAGGGGTCTACTTTGTAAATTTTCAAAAATGGAAACTGTAGATTGCGATTTTTGTAGGTGTGGTTATTGTGTTGGTGTGACATGTGACGTTGCACGCGTGTGTTGGGTCTATTTAAATAACTTAGGGGTTAAGAAACTACTCATTCAATTTGAAGAGCCTTCAATCCCTTAATCTTCGTCATCTTTATTGCTTTTTTCCTTGATCAATAACAACAGATTTCATTAAATATGAATAAACTTACAAGAAGAGGAGCTAAGGCATCTTAACTCCCCAAAAGTTGGATAGGCACCCAAGCTGATAATAAAAAACAATTACAACTGAGCCCAGAACCCAGAAACCCTACTCACCCCTTGCCTAACTAATCCATCAGCAAARGAGTTTGCATTTCTCTTTACCCAAGTACACTGAATTTCCATATTCATGATCAGCCATTTGAATTTTCTCTTTCCATTACTGTCTCCAAAGCTTATAAGTGTCTTCTTTTAGCCAATTCACTACAACCACAGAATCTCCCTCTATAATCAGTTTCTTGACATTTAGGTCTTTAGCCCTTTATATCCCTTCCAAAGCTGCTAACACCTCAGTCCTCAAAGAGTCTCCCACTCCAATTGGGCCAGAGAACATAGCTATTACATTACCTATCTCATCTTTTAACACCCCCTATACCTGAGGGCCCTAGATTCCCCATGCTACTACCATCAAAATTTAGTTTGATAAAACCGGGAGGTGGAGGGTTCCATGTGGGATTCGAGGTCTTCTTAATTGAGACTGGACTTGCAATTTCTTTCCATTTTCTTAACATATCATCCGTTGAAAAATCTRTGAACTCATCCGTTGTTTTCAACCAGTGTATTACCCTTATATGGATCACTCCTAGCATAGTTTCCAACCCTCTCTCCTTTTCTGAAAAAATCCTTGAATTTCTTTCTTCCCATATTGTCCAACAAACAACAACTCTCACACATCTCCACATGATCCTTGACCTTTTTGTTGGGCAGTTAAAAGAAGAAGAGGTAAACAAGCTTTGCACATTCGTTGGGGAGATCCACCTGCACCCAAACAAAGAAGCAAATCATTCCTAAATATTTTTTGCCAAAACACAGGATATTAGTAAGTGGTAACTAGACTCACTAGCAACTTTGCAAAGAACACACCAGTGTGGAGATAAACAACCATTGGGTCTTTTTCTTTAAAGTAAATCACCTGTGTTAACTCTTTCCAGGAAAGCTTCCCAATAGAAACTCTCAACCCTTGGAGGTATAGGTTGACACCACACTTCCTTGACATGGAATGACAAGCCAATAGGAATTTCCGGTTGTATTAGGGCTTTAAAGGAGGCACAAGTAAAGGATCTGGAAGGAGACAAAGTCCAAATCCTATTATCTGTTTTTGTAAGCTCCAAGAAAACCCCATCAAGAATGGACAAGAGAGTTGAAGTACTTTCCAATTTTGTGTCCCTGAGAGCTCTTCTCAAACCCAAGTTCTAACCAAACCCAGAATTTGAATTTGAGGGAACACGGAATGTGGCAACTGGTTCATTTTTGAAGGTGGAGATTGCAAAAAGGGCTGGAAATTGGTCTTTCAAAGGATACTCCCCAACCCAAACATGTTCCCAAAACTTAATGAGGTTACCCGAGTGCAAGTCATACCTGATCTAAGGAGAAAAAAGAGGTAGAATAGCTTGGATTGATTTCCAAGGTGATGCTCTTTTAGTCATAGCCAAAATCCTAGAGTTCCATCCATTCTCTGCAACCCGTGAATACTACAGATTATCTTAGCCTACAGTTTTTCTTTTTCCAATGAAAATCTCCACAGCCATTTCCCTAGTAAAGCCAAGTTCCTTATATTACCTATGCCTAGACCTCCATCCTGCTTACTCCTACACACCACCTCCCACTTAACCCTATTGTCCTTTTTCTCCTTCCCTGGCTCCCATGGGAAATCCCTCATTAGCTTTTCCAACTTGCTAGCCACCCCTGCAGGCACCTTAAAGATCGAAAGGTAATAATTGGGCAAGTTAGCTAAAGTAGACCTAAATAGGGTGATTCTTCCTCCAAGAGATAGATAATTTTTCTTCCAAGATGCAAGTCTCTTTTCAAACCTCTCAACAACTGGAGTCCAAAAACTTCCTTTTTGAGGATTATCTCCTAGGGGAAGACCAAGGTAAATTAGAGGCCAATTCAACACTTCACATTCCAAAATGTTTGCACACGCAAGGATCTCACTTTCCCTCATATTCACACCTACAACACAACTTTTATCAAAGTTTACTTTGAGATTCGACATTTGCTCAAAAAGTTGTATTGTAAGTTTCAGATTCCTAATCCAATTCATGTCCCCTCCCTCACAAAAGAGAATCGTATCATTTGCAAACTGCAAATGTGTGAGTGGTATATTCTCCCTGCATACTCTCCACCCTTTGATTAGACTCCTAGAATTTTCCCTAGAGATCAGTCTCCCGAAGACTTCAACAACCAAGGTGAACAAGAAAGGAGAAAGGGGGTCTCCTTGTCTTATTCCCCTCAATGCCAGAAAGAAGTCCACCACCGTTCCGTTCACCAAAATAGAGTAGTGGCAAGTCTTAGTACACCCCATAACCCACCTGCACCATCTATCTCCAAACCCAAAGT